GGTCCTCGCCCGGGGCCTGGCTCGCGTCTTCCGTGGGGGGTGCACCCAGGGTCCGTGGTGTCCCGGCGCCGGAGTGAAGGACATCTGGGAAGATCGCGTCCTGGGTGCACCGGGGCTGTGCAGAGAAACACACGGAGTATGGGTAGTGGGAGAGTTAACAGCGCGCTGAATACTTACCTCGGACTTGTGAGCGTCAGCCTTGGATGTTTCCAGTGCGGCTCTCCGCTCTTTCAGCAGGGTCTGCCTCTCCACCAGGTCGCGGATCTGCAGTGTTTTATAAGCAACTTTATGGAGATATCTAGTTTTGGCTACGTGATAAGATATAATTGCATGTATCCTTCTGGTAAAAGGTCAATCAAAAAATCCACCCAAAAGGTCAAAAGCGGAAGGTTTATGGATTAATTTCATTCAAGATGTTTCAGTCTAATTAAAAATTTACTGCTTTGCCCAATATTTGCATCAGACTTGGAAACGGTTGTGAGTTGGGTCTTTGGAGTATTTGTGTACTTAGAAAGTTCCCTTAGAAGGTAACGGCCTAGGCAGCTTGCTAGGTTTTGGAACAGAGTCTGTATTTTAGAGACATTTAAGTTTCCATTGTTTCTTGACTTTTCAACGAGTCATGTCAAAATAGCAAGGTTACCAAGAATGAACATGCCAGACAGGCTATGAAAGAAGCCTGTTGCACAACCTGGCCAACTCCATCTCTGCCATAACTCATATCCAACCCTTTCCCCCAACAGATCCTTCATCTTTTCTCTCGTGTGTAGGTTTGGCATCTCAGTAGTTGAGGTGCATCGCTGTCATCATCGTAGACAAGCATCTGTATCAGTCATGTGACCTTATTTGGTCCATTTGTAATTATTTTCTTTGTGTTTCTTTTTTTTTTTTTTTTTAACTGACAGCTACTTTATTGACTGAATCCAGAATTTCCGCTGTAAATTTTGTTACGTCTAGCCAGGACCGCAATGTGACAATATGATCCTGTCACATTACGTCATATTGGCTCGAGACGATAAAAAGCCTTTCTCTGCATTGAAGTGGGTTTCCCCCCCTCGTTCCATTTCCCAACCCTTCCCTTTCTTGCTCTTTTGCACGTTCTATTCTCTTATATTTCTCTTTTTTCCCCTCTCCAGTTGTCTTTTGTCCGGGCATGCTAAGCGACCCTTCAGTTATATTCCTCTATGCATTTTATCTCAAATTCTTCTCTCTGGTTTTATTGTTCCCATTTACTCTTTGGTTGACTTCTACCTATTTCTGCATGATGTCTGTGAAAATGACAGCTGCATCTATCAATGGAAGCGTGTCAGATCTTAAAAAGGCTTTGTCTAGTTGATCTACTCTCAACCACAAAAATCTGATTAAGGTTTCTCATCTTTAGTCCTTCTTGAAGGGATTCACCTCTACTAGTGCATGTACGTACCAACATGTACGTACAGTTGTGTATATGTAAGGTTTCTTTAGCATGGGCAGATTTTAAAAAATTGCAAAAAAGTTTTGTTCTTCACACTATTCTATACTCTTGGAGTATTTTCTATTCACACTATAAAGCTTTTCTGCTTTTTAACAGTAATGCATGCTTTTCATTTTGTTTACTGTAGTTACAAGTCACATAGAGATCTAATTTTAAAGATGAGAAACTCATAATAGATTTTTTTGTAATTAATTGTGCTGTGATGGGTCAAATATTGGTCAATGGAACCTTGTTGCTATGAACTTGTTGCTTTAATGTCAATCTATATGATAAGATATCTATATTGTTATATTGAAGCAGTTCTGTTAATTTAGTTACTTTATCATTATTTTAATTTGTATAAACCAAAATGTTTGTGAAGTTTTAGTCTCATTTGTTTTTTATAATTTGTTGTCCTCTCTTTAGACAACACCATGTATGTTCTAAAGAAAGGCTCATTTTCATCTGTGTGTCATTATCTTTCTCTTGTCGCCATTCCTCCGCCCTTTGCAGTTCGTCGCGTGCCCCCACGTTTCTCCATCACGCCCCCCACCATGCAAGAGATCATGCCAGGTGGTAGCATTAACATTACTTGCGTCGCCGTTGGCTCGCCCATGCCCTACGTCAAGTGGATGCTTAACTCTGAGGACCTCACCCCTGAGGACGAGATGCCAGTGGGCAGGAACGTTCTGGAGTTAAACGACGTCCATGAGTCGGCCAACTACACCTGCGTGGCCATGAGCAGCCTGGGCATCATCGAGGCTAATTCCCAGATCATTGTCAAATGTAAGAATCCACTGACTCCTCCAAGGTCACTCAAAGGTTCTCTGGTCATAAGAAATTAAGAACTAAACCAAAGCAAGTATTTCAAATGGTGTCAAGTCCCAGTATTGAATGTTTACATCTACAGTATTTTCTTATCCCGCCCTGCAGCCTGGCCAAAACCTCCAGCTACTCTTGTTGTAACCGAAACTACCGCCACCAGTATCACCATCATCTGGGACAGTGGCAACCCTGAGCCCATCTCCCATTACATCATCCAGTATCGCGCCAAATCTCCCGAGAGCAAGTTCGAGACCGTGGACTCCATCACCACCACTCGCTACAGCATTGGAGGACTTTCTTCGAACACCGATTATGAGATCCGGGTGTCAGCCTACAACACCATTGGCCAAGGCCCGCCTAGTGAACTGGTTGAGGCTAGGACTGTGGAGCAAGCTCCCGCCAACCCACCACGCAACATCCAGGCACGAATCATCTGCCAGAATACCATGATGGTATGCTGGGATGAACCCGAGGAGCCCAATGGACAGATCAAGGGTTATCGGGTCTACTACACCATGGACCCATCACAGCCCATGAGCATGTGGCACAACCACAATGTACAGGACATGTACACCATTCAGAGTCTGGTGGCCACTGAGACCTACACCATCAGAGTGTTAGCCTTCACGTCCGTAGGAGATGGACCCTTCTCAGATCCCATTCACGTCAAAGTGCTTCAAGGAGGTTAGTTTGTCCATTTTTAGTGGTTATTTTCAGTGTTGGGTGAGCAAAAGATGTATGATTCAAAATGATTCCTAGTAGTTTTTTTATGCTTTCATGTCTTAGTGTAAAAGTTAAAAAAAAGTTTAAAGTCAACATGAAATGGCATTCAAAACCCATTTTACTTTTGTAATCTGATGTATTTCTTAGTGAAATGGGAAATATTGGAGAACAACTTTTTTCAATCAGGAATTGATTGGAAAATTGGAATTGAAAAAAACTTGCCTTGGAGGCAGAGCAACTTATTACATTTTGATGAAAAATGACCAAGATAAACTGCATTTCTTTGTAACTGTGCAAAAATGAATGTATTTTGTTTTCATGCTCCTTTTGGTTAAAGGTTCCTTTTACAGATTTGATTCTTCAGATACACTTTTAGTGGGCGGAAGATGCCACAAAGCCATGGCAGCAGATGTGGACCATTTTAACTCATCTTCTGTTTCTACCTGTGCAGCTTGTTGGTGCAGAATGGGTGGGATGGGGTTGGTTGAGTGGGTGCCGGGATCCAATAAACCTGCTGCATTGACACACAATGTAAAACCTGAGAGTGAGCACTGAATGCATGTATTTCCTCCCATTACCCCCGGGGGGCGCTCTGTTAATGCATCCTTTGTCCTCTGGCATGTGTGCGCTGTGTGTGTCCCCTTCTGTTCCATCTCTGTATGTCTGTCCCACTGTTGGTGTCTTCATATATTGTATTCTGGAACAATGCGGTGCACTTTCTACTTCCCTTTTGTTTTCTAGCTCTTCTGTTTCACTTTGTCTCCTGAAATGAAACTAAAGCTCACCTGCTCCGGCTTGACGTCACCTGGTTTTAATTTATTTCTGTTCAGTACACAGGTTTAAGTTCAACTTTATTTCATTTTGGTTTGGTTTTACTCTAACACTTGAGGAAACAGCTCTCAGTGTTTTGGGTTTTTTGCTCTTATTATTGAGGTTAATTTTAACGTGACAAGCTCGACATGCAGCAGCACTTAGCATTGCCAATGCAAATCCATTAAACTAAAGGTGAGAGTAAGTACCCGGTGGGACAGCCGGAGGCTTCTTGCTCAAGTTATGGGATTTCGCTTTGTCCCGCAGGATCTCACAGAGATGGGAGACGTGGTTCACTACATCTGCCAACGTCTTCCCTCAAGCATAAACTAAAGTAGTGCAGATTTACCCATAACAAGGTCAGGGAGGCGACAAGCTTGGACAGTTAGAAGCAATTTAGCACAAACTCCCCTCAACATAACACATAGACAAGCATTTGGATTCCAAGTAGCCACAAGTAGAGTCCAATCAGTTTCATCAGTTGTTACACTCGAAGTTGCAGGCGTCCAGCTCACAAACTAATTTCAACCTTTTTAGCCAAACAAATCTGTAATTACAGTTGTTTTTCACCTGTAATTTTGCTTATTTGAAAGCAGCGCCACAATATGGACCTGGATTAAGTCATTATGACAGTTAACATCTTTCGATATTGGTTTTGAGGCACAATTCTTAATTCTGAAGAGTGATTTCATTTGGAGGTCCACAAGTAGCCACATATAGAAGGAGTCCAATCGATTGTTTCACTCATAGAAGTTGCCAGCTTCCAGAGAGATTTCATTTTGAACATTGAAATTCAAGGCTCTTATTGCATGAGTCTAAACCTTCAGGTAGTTCTGCAACTCTCAGATACCAAACTTTCTCGCCGCACTCAAACCAGGTCGATTCACGAGAACTGAATGCAAATATTCTTCAAAAGAGGAAGTACATCTTCAGAATATATCTTCAAATGGAAGATGAAAATCCAGTAAAACTTTGATCCAATGAAGCCCATTTGGTGAATAAACAGGGCTCTGAATAATGTCACCCACTGAACTCTGGGACGGGTGACACCTATGATGAAAGCTGGCTGGTGACGGGACAAATCTGTTTACCATTTCTCAAACAAAAGCACAGCTGGGCTGCTGATGGGTTGAATTGGGGTGGATTATATAACTTGGGTATGAATGGTTGAATGTTAGCGAGGTGCTAGCATCCTGATCTCAATCTTGTGGACCCTCAGGCTAGTGCAAACAGTGAATAGTGCAGACTGATGAAAGCACAGGGAAAGCTCTCTCCCTCCAACCAAAAAAAACCCCATCCCAACCTCAATGTTATTGGACTAAACTAAATTAAGGTAAATAGTTTGAACTGAGCTGTATTCGGTGAGCTCAGCAGTAGAAGGAGAGGGCCGAACCCAACCGACTCTGGGGAAATATAGTCTCCCTCGAATCGGGTGCTCGTGGTAAGAAAGTCTCTAAAAGTCAGTGTTTGAAGATGTCAGGTACGTATAATGTACAGGAAAATGTGTTTGTGTTTTTGGTTTTTGCTGTTTTTAATGGTCTTACTTTCTGTTTAAAGCTTGGTGGCTTTCCATGATTCTTCTGAGTTGACATTTTGGTTCTAACATTTTCTTTCCAGCCATTGTTTTGCAGAGAGTTTTTCCTCATTTTCCTGTAATCCGTTTTGAATGACTTTGTTTTGCTGGTGCTCATCCATTTGAATTTCAGTCACAAATATGTTTTATCCCCGTCTGTCCGTTTCCCCCCTCATTCATTTGTGTTACTTATGGCTTCAGGGATCAGCACGACAGAGTAACATTTAATTCTCGATTTTACAATGGAGATAAATGTTACAGTGCTTTAAATGGTATAATACTTTCCTATGCGCAAGCATTTAGTAAGCAGAGACTCTGTGCATTTTAAACGAGACTTTTATATTGATTTAGATTGGCACAGAAGTTGTCATTTCTGATATGTGCAAGGGGAAGAACCCGACAAAAACGCCTTGAAATACCGCAATGAATGGCCTTCATTCAAATGCAAATAATGTGATCTATTTTCCCCTCATGGTGGAAATATATCCTGAGAGCCCAGAGTATTTACTGTGAAAGATGGGTTAAATCTTTGTCTCACGTACAGCCGGTTATAGTTGGATAAACTGCTGTATCTTACGCCCAACATCTGTGGTGTTACTTCTAGATCTGTGACACGGACATCAAGCCAAAGTTAAACCTTAATTCATATTTATGTATGCATGCCAAACACCCCGACCACTTCAAAACCAAGCTCTTCTCTTCGCATTTGCCCTTTGCATTTGTTTTTATGTTTCAGTGTGTCTCTGCTTGTTTTTTTCAGTTGGTTTTTCCCTTTTATCATTTTCTTTTTCTCTTTCCCATTTTTTATTTTTGTTTTCCACTCCCTCCTCCCCCCCCCCCCCCCCCCCCCCCCACCCCCCCCGTCCCTCTCCCCCTTTCCCAAACCTGAGCAGAGCCCTCCGCCCCCCCCTCAAGACATTAAGTGCTCCAGCTCCAGCTCCAGCTGCACCACCCTGCTGGAGAAATCGACCTCCCTAGCCTTATTCACTGCAAAGCTTCTTTTCTAGCTAAATTCTTAATATTGACTTTAGCAACACTGTATAACTTGCTTTCATAGATTGAATCTCGAATCTTGAAATGAGATGGCAAGTAATGCATTGAATTAAACATGACATTTTTAAATAGTATTTGTTCGTAAAACATACTCCAATAATCCTTCATAACTTTGAGAAATATGTGCCAGTTCAAAATACACTTATTTAAGGTACATCCTCTGAAAACAAGTAGTTATTTAGGGGGTTTGCGCCTGGATTTGGCATACCCGATTTTAAATGTTTACTCTACACGCATACAAATGGTGTCATTGTATAGAAAACACCTTGATATACAAAATCAGATTGTAATTCTTCATGAATAACATTATAGATGTTTCAAATATTACAATAAACACTAAGAAAAGTAGGTGCTTGTTGATTTTTTTTTTTGCTATTCAGGTTCTATTTGCAGCACCTATCTGCAACTTATATTGTCTGATTCCACTAGTGCCAAAATGCACCAGAAAAAAAATAATAATAATTTCCCAAAAGAACTTCTAAACAGGAGTTATTGAATTATAACTGAAGGGAGTAAAATTGTCATTTTTTTGTGTCTACAAGTGTCTTTAGAGTTTCCTTTGCAAAAACAGGTATTATAAAATACATTACCCCCAGAATGCTATTTTACTATGTGCCATAGCCCTTGATTATTGATTGAATTATTTTTCATTTTTGTCTTTTTCTAAGTAGTAATATACAAAATATCATAAGATAATATAATTTTTTGTGTTTTATACAATGAGTTTTATTCTTTCAGGAGACACAAGACTCTATAAATGATCAAATCTATGTGGTCTATTACAATCTAAAACAGCTTTATATCATTCCTTATACGTGCATAATTTTTGTCCCCTGTGTTGAGCATCATCTCAGCATCCCGCCTGCCTCCTGGAGATGAGATGCCAGCTGCTGCTGCTCACTAATCTTCAACAGAAACTGAAACAAAGATTTCACTGTTTATGCACACGGTTTTTTGCCTTATAATAATACCCATTTCACAAGATCAAAATGTATATTTACTGAAATGGTCATTTTATTCTTTTCTGCATACTGCATCCTGTACTGTGCTTTTTTTTGTCAAAAAATTGTTTATCAGATTGATTGCTGTGCTTTCACATTTCAAAATAATAATAATCTTTTCTGTGATGCACATCTGCGACAAAACAATGGATTTCTCACCAACAAAAGCACACAGAAATGTGACAATGGTCTCGTTTGAAAGAGAAGATCCTAATCTAAAAGATAATAGAGTTTGTGGCGGACGGAAGCAGTCATACAAGTAGGAATGTGACGCTTGTCTTTGTTTCCTCAGAGGTATCGTATTTCACGGCGCGATTCTTTTGAAGATCATTCGATCTATGATTTTCACACAATGAAATACTTTTTGTGTGAGAGCTTTCTTATGATATATGACTTGACTGTTTTGTGAAATATATAAAACATACATATTCAGAGAGATAGTTCTTCGCCATCAAAAAGCGGAAATTCGTGTCTGGTACAAATGCATATTTAAGCTTAATTTTACTACTTTATGTATCATAAAACCAAAAGGTATGGTAAATTAAGCTTTCAAATGATACCATATAAGCAAGCCTTTAAAAAGGAAGTGTAAAGTGTTCTGTAAGGCAGGACCTACTTTCCTACAGCCACCATATTTGGTCTTATGATTTCCCCCATTCGTTTTCCAGTGACCTTTTATGGTCTCTGGTCGAGCTTAGTAAGAAAATAAATCCAAGATGGTTGAGGAGGCGAGAGAAATGTTGATTATACGTCTGTGTAGACAGCTCACTCTTTTTGGGAGATCTATTGACTAACATTACGTGATAGAGAAAACATTGACTTAGCATCATTTTCATCCTTCACTTCTCTTTGTAAAGCAGTCGGACAGCTTATGGGCACTGAAATAAATCCAGCTAGAGTAAGAAATTGTGTCGGACATTCCCCGATGACAGCAGTCTTTCTCAATGACTGACAGCGCTAGTTCAAGATACAAGCTAGTAATCAATACGGAGCACTGACGCTTTGGGCCGCCCTAGGATAGATGGTTTTGACGGGCTGGTCAACCGCTGTAGGTGGGTCAGGAGAGAGGGAACGCTACCCCAAGACCTCCGATGGGAAATCTCATTTGTCCAACCCACAACATGGAGTTATTTGAGTAGCAATATGTTACGACAGTCACATCCTTGGAGACTTGTACCATTATAGCATCTAATATGGAATAGTCGGGCCCCAATATACAGTACATCCCCTTATGATGTATTTTATTGACCATCCAGGAAATGGGTCTCCTCCTTACAGCAGTACTGAATGACCGGAGGTATTAAACATCAGGGCCTCGTATAAAAGGATTTTCATTAGCTCGCAGGTAAAAGACTGCAGACAGCAGATCCGCGAATTGATCAGTGCTCAGATAAGAATGATAGTGAAATGGAAGGGGATGAAATGGTTGCTCGGGTATATGGGGGTGTGAAATTACAGTTGATTAAATGTCCCTGAAGATGGGCGCTTAATCAGTAGCCTGGTTTCACATAATTGAATTTGCGTACTAGCTGAGATGCTAGGGCTTAGTTTCTTTTCAGCCATATCGTGCGGTCTTGAGGTGCTCCATAACTATTGGTACATTGTACTATTTTTAGAACAGATTGAGAGTCTATCCGTGTCGAATCAGATGTAATTAAAGAAGATTTTGTTTATATGTGAGTTCTGTAAAATATTTCATGTAGATCCTAACTTAATAGCTAATAAATGCCGGGGAAGCCATGTTTAGGGAATGATATATCAGGAACTATGATTGCTGCTATGTATAAATTGGTAGATTGGTAGAAAAATGTGTTCCCTTCAAGTCCAATTGGTTCAGAGACGTATAGGGATAAAAATATTTTTAAAACTGGCCTCTAAATTTGGTAAAAAGTACAAATTTCTAGATCAGTGAATGTTAATGCTCCTTTTCCATGCGTTGGCTGTTACCGACCTCATTGCTCTATAAAAAAAGATAAAATTGTTATGTTATTGCAAAGTAGTGATTAATTCAGAAAATGTCTCAGAATAATACCATACATGTATATATTAGCACTGAATTTACATTCATAAACAAAAAAATACCTGAATAAGCTGAATGTCCATTATTCGGTTTGTTTTTAGGTTCATCACTGTGTAGGTCCCGTGTTTGGCACAGTGCCCAAAAATGTGACGCACTGCATAACATAATATTTTTAGTAAAATACACATACCAGGAGAGTCTGCTCGCATGTCACCGCCCAAAACGGTGTCTCCACTGTTGATGGCCTCTGAAATAACTATACCTTGGTGTACATTCCACAGCCAGTTTATTGTGCGGAAAAGTAAATTCCGTTGGTGTTTCAGGAAGGTTGTGTGACTAATTCCTGTGATATTATATGCCTGCAAGAACTAGACACAAAGAAAGAGGAAAGTTAGTCATACTACAACTGGCAGAGATGTTTCATAGTGCCTTGCCTTTTCCACTTGCAAGAAGGAGGCTCCACTAAAAATTACAGCTGCAGACATCTGGATATTTCCTGCAGGTATGTTTGCGACATATGGCTGACTTGTCCAAGTGTTCTGATGCTCACAGTGTGTGCAAGCCTGGTCCACGCACAGAAGCGTTCCCACAGTCCTAGCATGTACAACACAGCTCCTTGTGCAGACAAGGCACTTCCTGAAGAGCTCAATGAGGTTTCCTTCATAAACAACAAACTTCCTCATTTTATAATGTGGGGTTTCAATCACTGTGCTAAAATACAGCAAACACAAAAGCATGGAAATGAATAGATGTCTGTGCCAGATGTTTATTGCTAATGATATTTAGCAGCAGGCAAATCAAAAAGTACATGTACTCAATTACTCACCTCTCATCATAGATGCTGTGTGGTTAGTCACTGTGGTTAGGCCTTTTTACAGGTGTTGAAACAGCTAGAGGGCCTTCCTCAAATGATGTGTTCGACATGACAGTACTGCAGCTAACATGTTTTCTATGAGGTTTCATTTGCGTGCCTAATTATATATAAAAAAATTCACTTCAATTGTATTTCAATGACTAGAGGTAGAACAAAAAGAAGAAAAATCAATTCTTACTCTTGCTTCTTCGCTCTGGTTTCCATGTGTGCTGTGTGGATACATGCTTCATCGGCGAATCAGCATCTGTTTGGCATGACGCATCTTTTGTGAATGCTTGAGTCTGGCACCCCACCTCGCGACACAACTTGGGCTCAGAGGACAACTGCAACTGTTTTACAACCGTTTAAAAATATATATAAAACACACGCATTTTTACAATACGATAACAATAGACCAGAGCACTGAAAACTACTTGGTAACTTGTTAACATTGACTATGTCTGCTCCATAACCATCTGAATAGCCTATGCAAAAATAAAGAATATTTAAGCAAACACTTACCAAATCTGTGGATATACGGGAATTGGTACAGCTTCTTTCCTGGTTTCCATGTGTGCTGTGTGGATACATGCTTCATCGGCGAATCAACATCTGTTTGGCATGACGAATCTTTTGTGAATGCTTGAGTCTGGCACCCCACCTCGCGACACAACTTGGGCTCAGAGGACAACTGCAACTGTTTTACAACCGTTTAAAAATATATTTAAAACACACGCATTTTTACAATACGATAACAATAGACCAGAGCACTGAAAACTACTTGGTAACTTGTTAACATTGACTATGTCTGCTCCATAACCATCTGAATAGCCTATGCAAAAATAAAGAATATTTAAGCAAACACTTACCAAATCTGTGGATATACGGGAATTGGTACAGCTTCTTTCTTTAAAACAAGACGATCGGTGAAACCGGATTCCACTAGTCCCCAATTCACAAAGTTCTCCGGTGCAAAATGTTTACTACAAACATATTTTCCAGTTGTGTTGGTAGAACACGGCAAACCAACCGCTTGCACCCAAAGTTCAAAGCTTGCAACCAAATGCAAACAACACTTTTGTGCTGTCGCACCGAAGAAACGAGCACATTCGATGCCGAACCATGTCTCTGAATGACAACAATGAGGGAAGATACTTTCTCATGAATAATATTCATGTTATATTGTAACCGTTATAATTTAATCCTACTACGGTGCAGTGATTGGATTGAATGACCTCTTTCTCATGAATAAATGCACAGATTAGCTCAGGGCCAGCTCACGTAGACAAGCCCCTGCAAGCCTATCTACACACTCCGAGGCCCAAATCTACTGCTGTGTCCCAATTCATAGGCTACGTCCTTCGAAGGACCCATTTGAAGGCCGATTACATCA